TTCCCACCTTGGGTAAATGCCGTCTGCTAGGTAGTATGGCCCGTCGTACTTATGTCCATTGACCCAGTATGTGACTTTTTGTGCCTTTCCTTGTAGGACTTCGTTGAACACTGGGGATTGGGTAAGGACATTGAGATCATTTTGAGCTCCCGAAACCCCGAAAAAGGCGTGCCAAATCCATGTATCAAAAGATGCCACCGCCTCCAAAATGATACTTTTTTATCATTTTCTATCCCCATAAGCGCCTTGCCATACACTTGGACAGTTTTTCCAAGTCCAGTGTATACAATCAATGCTTCCAATCATCCCTGGAAAACCTCGCATCTCGCCCTTCTTCAGAAGCCTTTCCAAGTCCATATGAGTAGGTCTCCGGAGGTACTGTGGTGTAGATAGATTCAATTGCCGAGCAAAACCTCATCAGGGACTCAAGAATGGTTATTTTTCCCATCCTCATTATCTCATCCACTTGGTCTGCAGATACTCTATATGCAAGTATCCTCAAGGCATCAGTAATTTTTTGCTCAGGCAAAAGACCCATAGCACCAAAAGCATCCAGCTTTTGCACAAAGTAAGAATCATGGTTGCAAACAACGCCCATGATTTTGTTGAACAAATGTCGTTCCATTCTAAAACGACGTCGGAAGTACGTATCAGGGAATGCACTTTTACGGACAAAATAATCGTCCAAGAGCTCCTCACCTCGTCGTCGCTTGTTTCTATCAATGTTTACAGCACGGTTGGGCCTGCAGATATGAGCCGCAGCTTGGATGACTCGACAGGAGTGTGAAGCTCCTGCCATTCTTGATTCGTCATCTCTCCGTCTATGCTCGTCATCCTCTTCCATCTCATTTTGGGCCCAATCATCGGCATTGAACATTCCATCTGATTGGTTAAATAATTCTTCCTCTTCTTGATCAATTTCCCACATCATCTTTGTAGAAGAAGAAGACATTGTAAGAAGGAAGCAAAAACTATGAATAATGATAGAGCTCTTGAGAAATTGGTGTGAGATTTCTGAGGATGGATGGTGGATTATATGGAGGATTCAGAAAGGATTAGGTTGTAGATAATGCCACGTGGCATGCTGTCATTCGTTAAAAATCTGGTGGAAATCTAGCCTCAAAGATTGTAATCAGATTATAACACGTGGCACGACGTGATTGGTTAAAAATATTATCGGAAATCCATCACCAATAATTGTCTTTTCAGATAATGACACGTGGCGCAACGACAACGATTAAAAATCTTATCGGAAATCCATCACCAATAATTGTCTTTGCGGATAATGACACATGGCGCAACGAGAACGATTAAAAATCTTATCCGAAATTACAAATAAAATTATTTTGAATTATTTATAAATAAAAAAATACAAATATTTTATTGCTATTGGCTTTTTAGAAAATGACACGTGACGCAACGAGAACGATTAAAAATCTTATCTGAAATTACAAATAAAATTATTATGTATTATTTTATAAATAAAAATAATAATAATAATATTTTATTACCAATTTCCAAGGCTATTCAGTGCAGGGGTGGAGATGCAAAAGGCAATTGTCACGGAAATTACTGTTTATTAAGGGCAGTTACTATTCATTGGATGGATTAACTAGTGAATAGCCTGGGAGGAGGGCTCCTACACTGAAGTTGCTCTTATGGTCCATTTTTCATGTTGTTTTAATTTTCATTTTGTTTGTTAATGTTCTAGAGTCCTCTTCTGTTGAGGGATCCTCAAATAATATTTATTTGAGCGACATTTTGCGGTCCTTGTTCTGTAATTTTTTTCAACAATTCAAATCGTCTGTATTTTTATACATTATTCATATATCATCATTGAAAAAATAGACAATTCAGAACCATTAATACATTTAGTTTTAGTGAAAAAAAATAAATGAATACAGTTGTTTAAAGAAACCCTAATATGACTATCATTTAATCCAACGGTAAAATGATTTCGGATTTGAATGATTTTGTAGAAAAAAATCTATAAGGGAAGATATGGGGCGGGCCCTACCCATGATCTCTCAAATATTCCTCAGAAATGGGACTGTTACTTTTATATTGTTTTATTTATTTTTTTAAACTCCTAAGTTGAAATTCCTAATTGAACTCTAGATTTATGGAAAAATAGACTGTGTTAGTGAAAATAACTAATGGCGCAATAGATGGTTAATTTGGAGGATTGAAACAACTAATATAGAAGTTCATGGACTAAACTAAAAATTACGATAAAGTTTAGAGACCATTGGTACAATTAAGCCTAAGTAAAAAGATAAATGTTCTTCAAATGCATGAGTGCTCTTTGGCCCATTTTAAAACTACTTTTAAAATAATTAAAAGCGTTTCCGATCATGTTTGGTGACAAAAACTTAAAAGTGATTTAATTTTTTATATGTTTCTTATAGAGGAATAAAAATGCTTCTAAGCCTAAGTTGTTTTTAATAAAACATTTGGAAACGGGCCTTTGTCACTTGAGCTATAAGCTTATGTTTCCCGTAGTATGTTTTAGTTAATTAAGAACTTATGACAAGTTGTCATTATATTTCTAAATCAAATTAACAGTCATAACAAAAAAGGTGGTTAAATGGGTCATGTCAAAATCGAATAATTCATGTATTAGTATTTATAGGTCATGTTACTTATGGGTATGAGTCTAAGTACCGTATCTAATCAACTTACCTAATCCACTCGTTCATGTTAAGTTCGAGTTTTATTTCATGTTGTGTAAAGATTGTCATCCAAAAAAATGAAAAAACTTTGAAAATTGTTATCGACACTTTTCAAAAAAAGTCATTCTGCATACATGTGTTCCGAGGAGAGGAAGGTTAAGGTAAACTAGAGTAAGAAATTATAATAGCAATAAATTTCATTACGAAATTTTCCATGGGTTACATGAACTATAACCAAATTCGCGCAACAATTAAAGGAGTAGTTTTGCAGAAAACACCAAAACAAAATCACAAACAGCGTTAACAATAACAAATTGGAAGATATCTTTAATTAATCCCTTCCATCTTCTTCTTCTTGTCAGTGATGCTTTCGGAGAGCCAAAGCAGAGAGCAGAATCAAGAACATGAAGGTGACGACAGTAACGAAGGAAGCCACCACAGCCCCACTCACGTTCCGGCAGAAATCACCAAACTGGTTGCAGATGGCTAGCCAGTTGGAGCTTGCATTGCCATTGTGGGCTAGGTAGACTATGGATGTTGCAGCCCCAGCAGCAGAAGTGGCTAGAGTCAGTGCCACCTGTCATGATATATATCACAATTTCAATCAAGTTAATTATAATCAGATTAACAATGTATGACTATTACGAGCTAATCATGAATCATAGAGAGGTTAGGAATGTAATTACAAGGTCAAGGATGAGGAGCAAGAGCCTTGGTCCACTTGCATGGGGGCGAACGATGGAGACGATGGAGAAGGGAAGTGAGAGCACCAAGTAGCCAGCTACAATTGACATTGCTATTAGGAAAAACCTGCATGCATGCATGGATATTAGATCAATGTACCGTACAGTACGCAAGGGTAATGTTGTCCTTTTCAAACATCCAAAATGTTACGTTGTTAAATTATCATTCTGTTACCATCATCTTATTAACGATTCAGATTGACAGTCTGACAACGTAACATGTTAGACTATTAACCAAAAACAAGACATAATAGTTCATTTGTTCAATAATCTAGATTAATGATTTGACAATGTAACATACCAGAATATCATAATATCATAAAACATTTTCTTTTGTGAAATTATCACCAAATGGAAAAAGAAGCGGAAGGAAAATGGGAACATACTGAAAGCTAGGCATGTCATCATAGCTAGCTTCAAATTGGAAGAACTGGGTGAAGAAAGGAAGGTTTTGATCACTGGTTCCCATGGTGGCAGCAGCAGCAAGAGCAGCCACTATAGCACCAATCCTCAATACCAAGTCGATTATGGCCATCCCTCTCTTCATTCCTCCCTTTTCTTCCTTCACATGATGAACTGCCAGAACAGGCCCTTTTCCTTTGGAAGGACTTCTTGCCTCAACATCAATGGTGGTCGAGTCGCCGCCACTCTTCATTTTCACAGAGAGAGAGATAGAGATGATAAAACAGAACACTGAAGCTTTGGAAATGGGAATTGTTGAGGAGAAGAGACTCAAAAGCTTGTGATGAAAATGGTTCACACATGATAAGCTTTATATAGTGCACCAAATAATAAGAGTTTAATTAGTTTATTAATTAAAATTAGTCAATTTCAATTTTCAATTACAATTTTTTTTTTTTTTTTTTTTTGATAGAAGAGCAGGGGAAGAGATTTTACCTGCCAAATGGATCAAGGTGTAACCACTTCAAGGAATATAATATTATATAAATAATACGTTGTTCAGGAGGAGTGGATAGGAGACTTTATGCACTTTTATCCTTTGATGAATATTATGCAGAAGAAGGAAGTTGGATTTTATTTAAGATTAGTATAATTATAGTCAAAAGGGCAATCAGCTAACTAAGCAAGTTTTATTCTCTTTATTCACTCAACTAAACCACAGCTAGCCCTCCCTAACCCAACAATGTAACGTACGGTTTCTGCAATTGTTCAGTGTAAGACCACATTATTATTTGCATCACTTTAAGGTTGACTTTAATGGCTAGGATAATGGAGAGAAATTTCTGTAAAAGCGATATGTGGATTGGCATGTAGAGTAAGTTACTAAAAAATTGTCACATTGACATGAATAGTGTTGAAATAACTGTATCAAACTTTAATATCTTGGTAATGCAAGTGTCCATGATCTTTCTTCTTTCAATTTTTTCATTCTACATTGAAGGAGATGAAGCGATACGAAGGGAAGTGCCTTCCCTTAACAACTCGGGTGTCACTAGGGAATGAAACAGCCAAATATAATAAGAAATGTGTACAATTCTTTAGTTGGTAAAGATAAATTACGCAAAATTGGATAGAGTGCAGACGAAAAACTTCTATAAACATGGAAATCTGGCAGTAGACCAAGTCAATCACACGCTGCTATATGTTGTAACTAAAAACTAAATTACTCCATTTCAATGGGTTTGACATTTGGCAAAGCTCTTTTTTATGTTAATACATTCAATGTTATCTACACTAAGGAGTGGGGGGAGTGAGCTAAATCTTGAATTCTTCTTTGGCGATAATCGTATCTAAGACCTCTCACTTACAAATGAAGAAGAATATCATTGGACCGTAGTATTAAGTGGCTTGGCAAAGCTCATTTAGGTTAGTTTAGTTGTATACTCCATCCACGCTCAGCAAGTGTCTTGTTCACCCGCCTCGCAGCATCGGCAGTGTCATTGAGTGGTGTATATCTCCAACGCTGGGACATCTACTCAAAAAAAAAGAAGAGGAAGTTCGAAAACCTCATATTAGACAGCTGCTTAGATCCCTTCTTTTCTCATTTACTAAATGAAAAAAGTAAGGAACTGATGTTTGGTGACTTACATCTTCTTTACCGGTGAATGGTCGAACAGCTCCTCGTTCCTGCAGAGAGTTCTGGAAGTCTGCGAATTTCCATGTACAGTGTTCCCCACCAATCACATAAACAGGTTTGCTGAAGCGAACATGACAAACTCTTAGAACACATGAATTGACTACAGGAATTATTTATTACACAGCTATGAATAATTAAGTTGGCCCTCGTCATTCATCATACTCATAACATACCGGTAATACAAGCCTCCCTCAACATACTGACTGAATCAGCGGTAATGACAAAAGCATCGGTGCAGGCTAGATGGCCCATATGTGGATTGCGACCTAGCAGTATTACATATAACATAACGTTTCACTTTCGAGCATTTATAGGTGCATAATATCCAAAGAATATGATAACTAACTACCTTCACCATCCCAAATGTAGACTTTGGGATTAGTACTGAATTCTTTCCTCAAAACTCTGGACACCTGTTCGGTAGTTCTCCCAGAGAAAGATATTCTCACACTTCCACAGCTCCAAAGAACATTCTGCAGCATAGCTACTAAATGTTTAGCAAGATCTGCATCATATGAACAGTTTCCTATGAAAAGAGTATGGATGCAGGACTATTTGATTATCTCCTCAATGCAAAACATGAAGGGAGAAACAACTTTGAACAATGCAAAAGAAGAGGGGACCAATATGTAATTCCAACAAACAAATTAACTCTGGCATGTAATAGAACACAGTAAAGGATAATGACATAGCAAAACCAGCATCTTATAAGTCTACAATGTCAGGATTTATGATTATCGATTCCTGCATCAACAATAATGAAAATGACAGAAATCCATCGAAAGCATTTCATCATAAAAACGACAATATTAAATCATAACAGTTTTTTAGCTGGAAAAACTTAGTTTAAGGGCCTCCGGTATTAACCACAAGCAAAGGTTTGGGAAGTGGTGCCAATTCAGCATGCCAGACAGAAGCAGCACTCATAAGTGCAGCAAAATCAGCCTGATGAAGAGCTCCAACAGTGAGAAGCTGAAACTCATAATAGAGAACCTGTCAACAAAATTATTCTATAAACACATTTGTACACCAGCACAAGTATTAATCCACCCAGATGGCAGATACTCACAACACTTTTGCCCGGTGGTTCACGTGGAGTGATCCACCTCCGAAGAAATCAAGGATTTGCTTCTGTGCATGGGGGGTCAATGGGTAATAATCATGGCGAGGAGCTATCACCAAATCAAACCTATCCACATGCGACCTTGGATGTTGAATCTGGAACAAGTCATCAAAGAGAGACAAATAGAATCAGATGCAACCTTGGACTGTAGTATTGCATGCGTCATTTCATTAGAACCATGTTACAAAGTGAGCTAAACAAAAATTTAAATAGAAGAAAAAAATTGTCATTAACATTAATGGCGCATTTACTAATCCGTAATCAAATTGAGAGGAATTGGATTGAGGAGGAATTGAAATAAAGTGGAATCAGAATCAGATTCTTGTTGAAGTTGTTTACTAAAACTGTCTGGAATCGAAATAGAATTCTATAAAGCTGTTTACTAATTCATCAGAATCGGAATATAAACCAGTATGATTACTAAAATACCCTTGTCCCAAATCAAATATTTTATTCTATATTTATGTTTAAATGCATTTTAATTAGTTACTTTTATTTATTTAGTCAAAGTAAAGAGTTAAAATGTCCATTATTAATTAATTGTGTATAAATTAAATTATAATCTAATTAAAAGCCGTAAACAAAGCGGCAAAGCCACATCCATCTTCTTATCCCGTAGAAGAAAAAACCCAGAACGGCTCCCAGCCGTCAAGACCACACGAGCATCGACATCGCCAAGGTCGCAATCGTCAAAGCGACGTCGCACAACGATGAGCCATCGCCTCCTGAACGACGGTGTGTGTTGGCGGTGTCAAAGCCTCTGGTCCATCGCCTCCTGAACGACGACAATCCAGAACGACGAAGACGAGATCTCGTATGCGATCTCTTGATGGCAGATTGATAAGAGGGCATACTAGGAATGCAAAATGCATTCCTGATTCCCTCACCCTCCGGGAATTCAATTACCTCATCCATGGAGGGAGTCCAATTCCTCCGTTTTCAGGAATTGAATTCCATTTTTCGTGTAAGTCCCACACACTATTGATTCCTCTCAATTTCAGTAAACAGAAGAGTGATCCATAATCGGAACCGGACTCCTTATTTTCATTCTGATTACGGATTCGTAAACCTGCCATAAGAGTGAACATTTGAAGAAACTATGACATACCCCAAAACATAAAATAAAAAAAGAAAAGATATGTTATTAAGTAGAAGATAGGTTACCGCGTGGCTAGTAAAATTTATGCAATACCCTAATGTACCATTTTATTGAAGAAAAAAGTTAATTGCATTTCTCCAAAGTACATGTATTTCCAGAATAATTTAAATCCAAATAAATAAGAGGCTAATCTTCATGTTCTGATCAGAAGTATAACATGTTGCAAACATAGACATCCAAAGTAAAAGAGGATTTTTCCTTTTGGAAGGAACAAAGAGAAGGGTGATTAGGCAATAATGATACCAGAACATCGCGAAGGGTTCACTAGTCCGTGAAGGAAAATAAAACCAAATGTTGAACTGGTGCAGTGCCTCACTTTGTTTTTTACCAGTCATATTATCATATGCATCTCTTTCTTAAGGGAGATTGAACCTTAACCTGTACAAGAAACATATTTTCTGGAGCTAACTGTTTTATGGCGCTTGAAACAGGAATGGTATTCCCACCAGATGCAACCACCAGCAACGGGCCATCTCTGGACAGACAATAAAGCAGGCATATAAATCTTTTACTAATAAAGAAATTACTGAACAAAACTAAAAATTACCCTACATTTGAAATAATATCATACATGTTGTATGAGCTTGTGAGGATGATGAAGCACAAGCAACGTACCACCTATCCAACTAATAGAACTTGACAAAAAGTTCAAATTTCTAGATTCAATTACGAAAACCCGGAAAAGAAGTAGCCACACACATACTTGTCGAATGTTCGACGAGCCGTTTCAGCAATCTACTTTGCATCAGCTTCCGGAATATCAGATGAGAGGCCTGAGTTAGCACCATTTTCAGAAGAAACAGCCAACAGTTCAACCATTTTTCCTTCAACTGATCAATGCATGTGGGGCTTACATGAAATCCACTAGTACCCCACCATGCATGACAGAAATTACAGTAGAAATGAAATTGGGAACTGCTATCAGTACCCGAAAAATGTAATCCTGCACTCCTCAAGACACAAATTATTCCTTATAAAAGTTAATAACAACTCTTGCGAAATTTACAGGAAGAATTGATTAGCAGAATTAACATTGCAGGTGCAGCATGAAGGAGAATAATCAAGTACCTATTTTTCCAGCAGAAAGAAGCAAAGGCATCAACTTTTTATGGAGAGGAAGTGGAAGCCGGTGAAGCCACTCGTTAATTCCTCTTTTTGGCCGACTAACACGCTGCATAATCATCATTAATCAACCATTAAATTAAAAACCAACCAAAAAATCCTCAATTAATATGCTCAAAACCAGATTTAAATTAAACAAGAACAGTGTTGGGAACCAGAACAAAAATACCAAGAGCAATACTGCAACTGACTCAAGCAAACTGGGAGAATAACTTGTTTATTGAATAGAAACGTTGGCTATTATATAGCCTTACATAGTTAACGAAACCCTAAAAAACAGCCCACGTTCCACACTAATGGAAAGTGGTAACGTGCATGAGGAAACAGTCTACGTAGAACAAGTCTTCCTACATAATAGGAACTTATTGAAAACAAAACAATCCTAAGTAATAGAGTCCTACAATGAAAAGGACAATCAAACTTATCAATCCCTCCCTTAAACTTACTCTCATCAAAGAGTTAGTTTATACTAACAATCTCACAAACCCCCAGCATATTTCGAAGTCTTTGGAAAACATCAACCTTTAACGGCTTGGTCATTATGTCTACCACCTGATCCTCGCTCCCATAGTGAATTAAAGCAATCGAACCCTCCTTGGTGAGATTCCTCAAAAAGTGATATCTCACGTCAATATGTTTACTGCGACCATGCATCACCAAATTCTTTGACAGCTTAATGGTTGAACTGTTATCACATCTAATTAGAGTACACGCCTCATTGTTGTACTCAAGCTCCTTCAGCACCCTCTCCATCCATATTGCTTGACATGCACACACTGCAGCTGCTACAAATTCTGCTTCTGTAGTAGACAGTGTAACAATAGGCTGCTTCTTTGAACTCCATGTCACAGCACCCGAACTTAGCAAGAACACATAACCACTGGTGCTCTTCCTATCCTCCACATCTCCTGCATAATCACTATCTGTGAAAGCAAACAGTCCATCATCTCCACCTTTCTTGTACTGAATACCATAATTCAACGTCCCCTTTAAATATCGAAGAGCTCTCTTTGCAGCTTGTAGATAAAGCTCAGTTGGTCTTGCCATAAATCTACTTAAGAGACTGATGACAAACATCATGTCTGGTCTTATGGCAGTGAGATACATTAAGCTTCCCACCAATTGCTTGAAGTATGTCTCATCCACAGTAATTCCATTCTCATCCTTACTGATCTTAAAACCTGGGACAATCGAGTTGCTTACTTCATTACTTTCCAACATTCCAAATCTCTTTAGGACCTCCAGGGCATATTTTTTTTTATATATGAAAATACCATCTGTTCTTTGAAGTACTTCAATGCCAAGAAAAAATCTCATGCTTCCCAAATCAGTCATATCAAATTCTCTCAACATGGACTTTTTGAATTCACACATCATGTCTTTGTCATTACCAGTAAAAATTAAATCATCAACGTAAATACTTACAATGATGATCTTTCTTGCTTCATTCTTCTTTGTGAACAAAGTTTGCTCACTGTCACACTTCTGAAAACCTTCCTTGATAAAGTGCGCCTCGATCCGACTAAACCAAGCTCGTGGAGCTTGTTTTAATCCATACAATGCTTTGTGTAGTTTGTAGACCAAGTGCTCCCTTCCTTCCTTCTCGTAACCCTTTGGTTGCTCAATATAGACCTCTTCACTCAGCTCTCCATGAAGAAATGCTGACTTGACATCTAGCTGGAAAATCCTCCAACCCTTTTGTGCTGCTAAGGCGATAATCATCCTCACCGTGTCCATTCTTGCCACTGGTGCGAAGACCTCTGTGTAGTCTATGCCATGCTTCTGTGAGTAGCCTTTGGCTACTAGACGTGCTTTGTGCTTGTCAATCTTTCCATGTTCGTTGTACTTGGTCTTGTAGACCCATTTGATGCCAATCTTATTTGCTCCAGTCGGCAACTCGCTTAAAGACCATGTTTTATTCTTCTCTATGGCGCTGATCTCACTGTCCATAGCTTGCTTCCATTTCTTTTCTTTCACTGCTTCTTCAAAATAGAGAGGATCTTCGGTTGGCACGATTTGAACCATGTGTACCTCGTCGTCACTTAGCCCTTCTCCAATGACATAATCACTTAAGTGAGAAGGAGGACGTCTAACTCTTCCTTCATAAACCCTCCCTTCATCCTCGCCAAGTTCATTAGAACTTCTCTCTTCACAACCCTGTGTGTCTTCACTGCTCTCACCCACATTTCTTTCTTCTCTAGCCCCACTGCCATTTTCATCTTCATTTTCACTCACCCTTTCTTCTCCCTCAATGTTTTCTTCATTTTCTCCCCATTCTAAATCTAACATGATATGTCCCTCATAACTAACATCCCAATCCCACTGTTTTTCTTCCTAAAAAATAACATCCATGCTCACAACAATTTTCTTGGCTATAGGATCAAACAATCTATATCCTTTGGACTCCTCACTAACTCCCAATAAAATACAAGGAAAACTTTTATCATCTAATTTACCTTGCTTGACATCTGGAACATGGACATGTGCTAGGCTTCCAAAGACACGGAAGTGCTCGACTGAGGGTTTTACTCCACTCCAAGCCTCTTGTGGAGTGATATCCTTCACTGATAATATGGGACATCTATTCAGAACATAGATAGTCCAGTTCACCGCCTCTGGCCAGAACATTTTTGGGAGCTTCTTATCAGACAACATAGAACGAACCATATTCATGACAGTTCGATTTCCTTTCAGCCACCCCGTTTTGTTGCGGCGTGTAGGCAGTGGTTAACTGCCTCTTGATTCCATTTTCTTTGCAAAAATTAGTGAATTCAATTGAGGTGAATTCACCCCCTCTATCTGTCCGTAGACACTTGACACTTAGCCCTTTCTCCTTTTCCACCATTCTTTTGAAAAACTAGAAGCAATGCAGTGCCTCACTCTTTGTTGTCAACAAGTACACCCATGTTTTACGACTAAAATCATTAATAAAGCATAAAGTATACCTCCTTCCACTATTTGATATGGGAGAGATGGGCCCACATATGTCTGCATGAATGAGCTCCAAAGGCTGACTTGCTCTCCACGTACTTCTTGTTGGCATGTCATTACGATGTTGTTTACCTTGAATGCAGTCTGTGCATGTGATATTTGAGGTTTGAAGCCGAGGAAGTCCACAAACCATCCTCTTCTGTTGCAACGTTCTCAATCCCTTGTAGCTTAGGTGACCATATCTTTGATGCCAAAGATAAAAAAGATCCTGCGAGCTTGTGTGAAGACACCTTTCTGGTGGAGCACTTGTAGAGACTGGAGTCTGAGCTAGCAGTATAAACATCCTGTTCTTACTCATCTTAGTCTGAATAATCAGACCCTTAGTCGGATGATATATTTTGCATGCTCCTTCTTTAATTAATATAGCCAAGCCCTTTTCTTGAAGTTGTCTTATGCTCAAGAGATTGTTTTTGAGCTCTGTAACATAGTACACCTCATTGACAACATGATTGATTCCATTTAAAAACAGCATGCCCTTGCCAACCACATTCATCCTACTGTTGTTCCCCAATTTAACTGAATGAACAAAGCTTTCATCTAGGTTTGTGAAGATATCCCGATTGCCACACATATGGTTGGAACATCCAGAGTCAAGAAACCAAGCATCAGTCCGTTCATGTACCTCCACATATGACATCAACAACATATCTTCTTCATTCACTTCTGCATAATTAGCCTCCTTATCCCATTTAGGACATTCATACTGGAAGTGCCCAAGATTATGACACTTGTAGCATTCCACCGTATCTTTGTTGAACACCTCTTGGCCTCCTCTTCCACGTCCTCGTCCTCTATAGTTACTTCTTCCACACCCTCGTCCTCTATGATTGCTGAAACCTCCCTCAGTTTTGGCATCAGTTGTTGCCTTCAGAGCTTGCTCCACACCGCTGCTTCTGTGAAATTTTTGCTCATGTACAGTGAGCGAGCTTTGAAGCTCATCAACGGTAATTGCATCCAAGTCCCTAGATTCCTCAATCGAACAAACTATATAATTAAATTTGTCCGTGAGAGATCGCAGGATTTTTTCACAGATCGTGACGTCAGTCATAGGCTCCCCATACACTCTCATCTTGTTTGCTACTGTCATCACTCTAGCAAAATAGTTAGTGATTGTTTCACTAACCTTCATCTCAAGTGTCTCAAAGTCTCTCTGTAGGGCTTGAAGAGTTGAGCGCTTCACTCGTGCATTCCCTTCATATTTCGTCTTCATGGAATCCTAGATCTTCTTGGAGGTGTCCTTTTCCAACATCGTCTTTAGGATGCTCCTATCGATTGCCTGGAAAAGATAGTTTTTTGGTTTAAGATCCTTGAGTTTCACTGCATCAACCTCTTTCTGTCGTGCTTCTGATATAGGTTGCGCCCCCTTTGCTGGTTCTTCATAACCAGTTTCAATCAAACTCCAATACTCCTTGCTGCGAAGGAAAATTTCCATGAGCATGCTCCAATGGTCATAATGACCATCAAAACGTGGAATGGAAGGTTGTACGAAGCTTCCTTCAGAAGTCATTTTTCCTCTCTTTCTCTCTTGTGTTTGAAGTCACTCAAAAGCTGCAGCTTTCCGGTTCTCAGGCCCCAGTAAGGGGCTCAGATACCAGTTTGTTGGGAACCAGAACAAAAATACCAAGAGCAATACTGCAACTGACTCAAGCAAACTGGGAGAATAACTTGTTTATTGAATAGAAACGTTGGCTATTATATAGCCTTACATAGTTAACGAAACCCTAAAAAACAGCCAACGATCCACACTAACGGAAAGTGGTAACGTGCACGAGGAAATAGTCTACGTAGAACAAGTCTTCCTACATAATAGGAACTTATTGAAAACAAAACAATCCTAAGTAATAGAGTCCTACAACGAAAAGGACAATCAAACTTATCAAACAGAAACCCAGTACCAATATCAACAGCTTTTTCAAATTTTCATGAAAAGATTGAAACTTTGATTAAAATTAAACAAGAACAGAAACCCAAGGCTTAAACCACAAATTCGAAAAGTACGACGCCGTGTATGTAAAAGGGCAAAATGGGCAATTTAATGTAGAAATGTGGCAGAATCTGAACCATTGATGTTTTTGAACGGTGACGGTCAAAAGTTTTGCATAGGAAATATCTGGCAGAGGATCTAATCCGCTTGATTTCCCAATGGGGTTTAGGTCTTTAAACCGTTTTACTAGTTGAAGCCTTCCGCTCTGAGTCCCTGAGAATCTTCGAGTACGAAAGATGTGGGCAAGCAAAGAAGGAGGGCCGCCGGAGGTCACTCTAGAAACCACCATTGGCAACTTCACCGTCGAGGTAAATTCTCTTTCTTCCCAAACTTTCCCTTCAACTTTCTTTCACTTTCTCAGTAACCAAACAGATAATTCAATCCATAAAGTTTGCATCTTTGACATTAATTTTGTTTTCTAATCGTTGAAAATCGTAGCTTTACTACAAGCACGCGCCGAGGACTTGCAGGAACTTCATCGAGCTCGCTCGCAGGGGGTATTACGACAATGTCAAATTCCACAGAATCATCAAGGTTTCATATTTTCTGCTTTGTATTTTATATAAATATTGTTTATATATATTTATAGATTTTAGTGATGGTTGAATTGGAATTGGTGTAGGATTTCATAGTGCAAGGTGGTGATCCCACTGGGACAGGAAGGGGTGGAGAATCCATTTATGGGTAAAAAAATTTCCCCTTAAAAACCTCCCAATTTTAATTATATTTGAGAAACATAGTGAAGAACCTGTTTTGTATGATGGGTTTCAGGGGAAAGTTTGAGGATGAGATAAAACAAGAGTTGAAGCATACTGGAGCTGGCATCTTATCGATGGCGAATGCTGGTCCAAATACAAATGGAAGCCAGTTCTTTATCACATTGGCACCGTGCCCGTCACTGGACGGTAATATAATTTTTACTCATAATGTTTAGACTGTTTTATGATTTATCAAACTAGTTGGAATCCTTTTTTCTTAATATGTACTATCTATGCAGTATTTGGCCTTTCATTTTACTTAATCTGCATAAAACTGATCCTTAGCAGTAAACGTTTTTGGCGTTCTCATGGGTACATATCTTTGCATACAATGTCATTAGGTGCACATGTAAGTGGGATAAGAAACAAGATTTCAGTTCATTGCTCTGTGACCTATGGAAATGTCTGGAGACTGAAAACAGTTCTTGCCATAATATTATTTCTTTGTGATTTTTCTATGAGCATTTTACGATCTGACATGCACACGCAATCTGGAGATAGTTATGTGTATTGGGCTGTTTTTGTGTACAGGAACCTTTAAGCTATAGATGACCTTGATAATCTATACCATCACTGTTAGGATTCTGTTGGAGCTATAAATTGACCTCTTTATGACAGTATTCCATCCTTTTAGCCTAAATGCTGTTTACTTGGATTTATTTGTTTGTTCCCGTTGAGTTATCTTTAACAAAACTTAATGACCAGTGTGAGAGCAGGGAAGGTTCTCTTTCATCAGTACAATTTCATGCAGTGAAAATTTGCCTTCCACTGATAGTAATTTGCCTGACGTTTCTGCTTTTATTCAGGAAAGCACACAATATTTGGAAGGATCTGCACAGGAATGGAGTTCATCAAAAGACTTGGCAGTGTCCAAACTGATAATACTGATAGGTATGCCTTCTCTCAGTTGTATTTCTTGATATTTGACACAGATAAATGGCCTTCTACTGTTTGCAGTTTTCCTGCAAATGGTTGGTCACACTGCCGGATCCTCTTAAGTTTCTCAGTCTGTTGTGGTTCACTGCACCAAACCGAAAAAATTAAGATTCTGAGTTTGAAACTTCAGAATGTAACTTGGTAACTATTTTGGTCTTGGAGGAGCAAATTATCATGATGACGTCCTAAGATTATCTTCTGATGTGAATTTCAATATTTTTTTTATAAATGTTTCCGGCTCATGTGACATAGTAAGCTAAGCTACAATGTCTCATAAAATCTGCGAGAGGAATCTCTTATGGTATGAGTTAAACTTCTTTTAGAACTGAAGGAAGAAAAAGAGATGTCAAGCAATGATGTCTTATGTTTGAGCAAGTTAAGCCGTTGACTATTTTCTTTTTCGGATACATAAATGTGGACTCAAATTTGTTATACTATGTTTTCAGTCATAGGAGCAAGTGGTAAATCTGGTTGTGATTTTGGATATAGGCAATCATAGGAAGATATGTCCAACAGTTTTAATTGATTGTCTCAATTCTCCAAATAGTTTGGAAATGATGATAAATTATTGAATATTGTCAATTTTTAACAGTACCAATTGTAAGAGTCTGTCGTTTTCACTTAGAAAAATGTTGTGGAGAAGTGGTAAATAAGTGATTAGTTAGAAACTTAACTGTCTTCCCGAATGTGATCTAATATATTAAGAGATTTTAGGTTTAGTTTTGTAAGTGATTATAGCACCTTGTCATACTTAGATTTGTAACTTTTGCAATTAATCGCCTATGATCACCGGCCTGTAAGTTTTATTTCTAATCATTGTGCCTTTGTAATACACTTCTTTAGAAGACTTTAGTTTGCATGATTTGTTCAAAACTCGATCTGACATGATTTTGTTCTTAATACAGGCCGGTGCATGATGTGAAGATACTACGAACATCTGTCAAAGATTAGACATCTTCTTTGTTCGAGAGCTTGATGAAGACGTGCCTTGATCCACCAGAGTGATCAAATTGCAAAGCTTCTGTTAACGATAAAGCGATAGAGCTTCAACAAGTTAATTGGATAAAGCTTCAACAAGTTGGATATTTTGTATCGACGGATAACAATGTTGGCTGGTGGGTGTATTTCAGTCATACAGGGATACTAATGGTGAAAAGGGGGAGTGATTGTTCACTAGACTGAACCTTTATATTTGGCACCTAACACAATTTGATTAATAGTTCTACACTTTTAAGAATTCTCTCCCCCGACTTGTACGAGGCGGGAACGCTCAAATAAACATCGTCTTTACCAACTAGCATTTTTCTCTTCTCAATGTTGAAAGATGTTCCAAAATTTCGTGTCTTCGATTCCCGCACTGATGAAAATGAATCACCTTCTTCCAACCCATGCTCGAAATGTAATTACCAATCCTTACGGCAATTGCATTGATTTGGAGAAGTGATTTTCTCGCTTCCCTTTTCAGCCTTGCAGTCCTTTTTTTCTAGCCTTCGAACGGAATAATAAAATGAGAATCAAGGAACATAAACAAGAGGATGAATGGAGAAGGAGAAAGCAGAAATGTAAGCGTTAACATCCTTCATTTGTGACACACACAGGCAGTGCAGGCCTTTCAGAAGATTATACTAGTATCGGAAGAGCGGGTAAATCTTATTACACGAAGAACAAACATTCCGCGAATCATAGCGTCGAGACACGCTAAACTTTACACACAAAATCCATCTGCAAACAGGTTGATTAAATCGTAGAACTATGAGAGAGAAGGCGGGATTTAACTGTTAACCAAACCAGGAAATGAGTAGGTAATCTGACATACCAACTATGCTGTTTAAAAATCATACACGCAAAAGCTACAAAATTAGAAAAAAAGGCTCTCTTACAATTTACAAACCACAATTATATAGTCGGGAAAAATTGCAGACAGCTAACTAAGATATAAGCTCATAGCATCACCTCTTTCTTTCATGGGTCAAGCATAGAAAGACGTATTTCTTGCGCATAATAATATCCACTCCGAGTGCTGCCAGCAGTTGTTTCCCAAAAAAATGTGATCCTGGGCAGGTAAACATAGTGCTTCCATCGTTACAACCAGACTCAATTCCACTATAGGCAGATCAAATCACCCAGAACAGCAATATGGCTTTGTACTCCGTACCAACGCCTCAGGTATGTACCCATCAGACTCCATTCTCTTCACAAGTAGAGGGGTTAAGCACAGGCTGTGGAAGAGGACCAAATCCATTAGTCTTAATAGATCCAGGAGGGCCTTCTCTTGGTGTTGTAATACTTGTTGGATCAGAGACTCCAGCAGCTGGATCTTCAGCGATTACTTCCTCTTGTAGCATTTCCATTTGCCGTTGTGATGGCACATCACCTTTGCAGTAACTGTGCCACATGCTCCTGTATGCAGACTCCAGCCCAAAGGTAAACTTTGGTCCATCACAGACAGGTGACCTGGCCATAAGGTCCCGGAGACCCATTCTCAAATTCGAAAGCGCTGTGATGTCAGAGGCCAGCTGCACTGCCAACTGGACATATTCATCCTCACTTTTAGCAATCAGATTTCCCAACCCTGTATTTAGTTCACTTTAATCGGTTAGGTTCTATCAGCGGTAAAACAATGATCAATCATTAACAAGAACACACATGCAGAATGACAGTAAGACGTGCACATCCAGGAAATATTATTGGGAGTCAGCAAGAATAGCGAACAGCGTGCAAATTTTTTTGAACTGAATAGCATGCAAATTGGCATTTCATCGAGCTTTAGTAGGCCTAACGTCATTTGCCTCATATTGCATGCCTGTCAATAGATGCCAACAACTTCCGAGCATGTTGACTGATGTCAATAGCTTTTGAGCGAGCATGCCGATAGATGCCGACAAGTGCCAACAAATGCCAAGAGCTTGTCGACTAATGTCAATAGCTTTTGAGCGAGCATGCCGACATACGCCAACAAGTGCCAACAAATGCGAAGTTAGCCTATTGACAGATGCCCATAGCAACGCATACAAAAGGCACGACGATAGCAGCTACCCTGCCCAAGGCCCATAAAGACAATTCGAAGCGCAGTTGGAGGGCAGCTTTCAAGGTTCAAAGGGCAGCGCCCAGCTCTTCCATAGAGGATTTCTGAGCTTGTGGGGGTCAGCTGACCCACCTTGCCCCAAGGTGGATCCGCCCATGTGCACATCCATCAAAAGTTCAATATTGAAGGAATTTATTTTTAAACTGGTGCGTCTCTTTACCTAGTCAAGTTTGGAGAATGTTTACGAAGTTTGTGCCTGTCACAGTGAGAATTGATCTCAGGTGTCCTAGAGCTTGTGACACATATTCTCTCTTCTTAACCATATGGGAGATATAAACCAAAATATGCAACCAACAATAAGGCAAATAAAGAAATAGGTCTCTTCAGAGCAACCATGCATGGTACTTGGTACACCAGAAAGACATTGATTAAAAAAGGAGGAAAAGAAACACTTACCAACTTTGCTGAGAATACTAACACCAACGTTGTGTGCATGTACTGAACCAGCCATAGTAACACACGGGACTCCCATGTATAAGGATTCACATGTTGTGGTTGTTCCAGCATATGGAAAAGTATCCAAACTACATATAGAGAAGATAAATTCGGTTAGAACCTCCAAACAAGATCCAACAGTAACAAGTGAAACCCTTCCTAAAATGTGCCGCCAGCAGGTCAGAATCCAGTAAAACTTTATTGCATGCACATCAGAAGTTCTGGAATGGTTCTCTAATTTCTACAAAGCATCGCAAGTTGCTCTATTCACATTATTGTCAGGTCAACTTAATTGTTTTTTGTTCCTTCTTTAACTTATTTTCAGAGTGACTCTAAAAACTAGATTAATTGATCTTTACTAGTCAAGATCAAGTCTCCTGTTTGCCTGAGTAAAAATTACTTCATACGCTCATTTTTGTTTGACTGCACAATAATTAAAGAATCCAGAGGAAATGAGCCCACACATGGGAAAATTGCTCCCCTTGACCATCCAAGCGAGATAAATAGACAAGAAATATAAACAAACTTTGACACTAGTAACACTATTGTCCTTCCAAATGTAAGAAAAAATATCTCCAATTTACCTAATGTCCATGAGAGAATAGGCTTGCATATGATCGTAGTTGAGTAAAATTAGAGGCAGAAGATCAACACGTAGAGGTTCCAACCCCAGCTGCTCCAATGTTGAAAGAAATCTCTCTCTCACACTATCACAACTAAAAGGCTTACACTTCACCACAAGGCGAGAATTCGGAATTGCAGAAAGAATTCTTGCCCAAACTTGTAGCACTTTTGGAGTGATCTAATAAGAGGGGAGAAAAGAGTAGTGAGAAAAAAACATTATACAAATGTAATCCTTTTTCCGGTAAGAAACAAGAGTTTTATAATATAATACGTGATAAGATTGCTTATGGCTGCAGCTATATGCTTGATTACCAAGAGAAAAAAAGAAACCTAAATAATACCTTCGCCAGATTATTAAAGCTACCAAAAGTAACAAAGCCATTGGAAAGAGCAGGAGTGGGCATAACAGGCCCTGCCTCAGGGGAAGGTGTGTAACAAAGAAAGCAATCGGGTAATCGAACCAACTCCTCAACATGCCTGACCAAAAAAACAGACGGTTACTAAAAATGTACCAGTACTACCTACTCTCTATCAGATACTCATCCTTGAATCCAGAAGAAAAAGAGTAATTATCATAGGAGTAAATGGTACTAGACTTACTTCTGCTTTGAATCAGGAGGATCGGCCAGAGAATCTGTGATTCTATAATCAATTGCCGGCAAACCAGTTGTGTTTGGGTAGCCAATCCAGGTCACCTGTAAATCCAGCAATAGAAGGTTAGCTACTTAAAGAAAACAATCCCGTAAACTGAGTGAGGCACATGAAAATGAAAGGAACAAATTTAACGGGAGGCGTCATTTTCGGACTGAAAAGGAATATATTAGGCTTCAATATATAAAGCATCTCACAATGCTTTGAAAGTTGCCCAATAAAAAGGAAAACCACAACCGCCTGTTCTAGGATAAAGATTTATCTTGAACTTCCTCAACTTTCAGATTTGCTGAGGCCAAAAGGAAAAAAAAATCTAGATTTGCAACAATTATAAAATACGTTGTATATTATACTGTAAGTCTATAAGATAAAAGTCAACAAAGAAAGATACACAGAAAACAAGAACACGTTTAAAGCCAACTGCCTGAGAACGGATAGAACACCTTTCAACATACCTGAACAGGTGAGGGCCTGCATGCCATTGTTCCCAATTTATTGTTTGCTGTATGGCCAGTAAGTTCCACCAGGATATCAACCTTATCTTCTCTAATAATGCTTGCAACCTTCTTTTCATCAATCCCATATATATCTCTCCAAATCCCACCCTTTTTCAAGACTTTCTCCCGAAACCTAATAGTCTTGGCGTCTGCCTGTGACATTATATAAAAGTCAATTCCGAATTGTGTGTGGGATAAAATATCTCATACAGTATTTGATCTTATAGACAACCAAAAGTTATTAACTTTATAACAGCATGAAATTAAATATATAAAAAAATTAAATGATACTTTCAAGAGAACATGTGACTTACGACCAACTGAGAATTAACTAAGCAATTTTTGACAAATCCTAGGATAGTAGGTCTATTTGGTTAGGGGACAGCCGGACAGGGAAGAAATGAAGACAGGAGATGAGGAAAACAAAAATAAGTATATGGTATGATGACAAGTTCTCATTAAACATATGGTTTTAGAAAATGTGTTATAACGAGAACTGAAAGCACAGAGTATAATTCTGGCAAAAGCTGCAAATGAAAAAGTTAAGACACGGTCTACAGGAAGCTCAACTTTAAACATAAAATGGACA